TCTAGCTAAAATTAGCTAGCGTTATAAGTATTTTTCGCGACTTTACGCCTGCTTAAAAAGCTACTATCTAGCTCTTAAAATTAAACTTACGCCTACTAAGTTAAGCTTCTAGCTACTCTAATATATTATTTATAACTTTCTCTACTATATTAAGCTACTAAAAATAGTAATTATACCTCTCTAGTAGATAGTAAATAGCGCTCTTACTATTAATAATAAGCTTATAATCTACCTCTAGGTTAAACTCTACTTATAAAATTAGTAATAATAATCTAGATAGTAAAAAGTAAAGAAACTTACGTACGCGTAATATAGTAGATAATAGTAGTAGTAGTATACTCTTAATAGTAAGATTAATGTAGGTAGACTTTACTAGTAGTAGTAATAATAGAGGTAGAGTCTACTACTTATTTATAGTATTCTATATACTAACTAGAGTAAGAGTAGTCTAATTAACTACTAGAGTAGATATTACTTAAGTTACTAGAGTACTATTAGTTATTAGCTACTCTACCTAGTAGACTCTTCTACGCTACGCGTAAGTTATTAGACTTTTACTACTTACTAGGCGCTCTTTAGTACTCTTATAGGTAGCTATAGTAGCTTTCTTAAAGATTTTCTTACTACTCTTATAAGCTATACGCGCCTTTCTAGCTACTCTATCGCTCTTAGTTTACTCTCTAGGCTATAAGAGGGCTCTACACGCTCTCTATAGATAATTATTACCTATTTTAACAGATTACTCTACTAAAAAAATTGTTAGTATAGCTCTATACACGTATTTATATAGTCTTATAACTTACTAATAGTTATTTAATAGTTTATAGGCTGTTATTAATACGTTATAATTAAATTTATAATTTATATAAGACTTTTTACGCACGTGTAAATTTTTAGATATTACTAATATTTCTATAGATTATTACACGTAATAGATTATACAAACTAGTAGAATAGGCTAAGATTATAATATTATATATATCTTATCTATTTTTACTAATACTAGTATTTTAGATATATAACTATATTCTTTATTAGCTAATAGTACTACGAGGGTATAAGTCTAGAATAATAAGGTAAAATATTAGTAAGAAAATAAAATAGAGAGTAGAGTCTTAAGCTTATAAGCTATCTAAAACTTTTTAAACTTAGATATTTTAAAGCTATTCTAATCTATTTCTTAAAGGTAAGTACTTTTTTATTTAAGAGCTATCTATACTAATTATAATCTATTAGTATTAAGTTTACTTTTATTAACGTAGCTATATATATACCTTCTATACTTATATTTATACCTACGAATATTATATAAAGACTCTTAAAAACTCTTATAAGAATACTAAAAAATTGTAAAAGGTATATAGTAGTAGCTTAGAAGATTCTTAAACTACTAGAGGTTTATATTATCTTAGTAGGTATAATAGAAAGCTAAATATTTATAGAGAGAGTCTAGGTAAGCTAGAACTCTATATATAGTATTTAAGACTAGCTTATATAACCTAGAAGGTTGTATAGATAGTAGATTTAACTCTAAAGATATTAATTAGACTAAATTCTAATACTATAATTCTAAATATTATAAAGATAGAAAATTATATTATAAAGAGAAATTTATAAAGAAGAGTTCTTTCTAGTAGTAGCTAAAGTAATAACGCTAAGTTAAAATCTTTTAAGCCTATTATAGAAAGTATATACTATTTTATATAATAGTTTTCTAAAAGTCTAGATATTATTCTATACTCGCGAGTTTAAACTTTTAGATAGCGAATCTAATATAGAAAGTATCTTAGACGCTAGCTATACGCGAGTTATACCTCTAATACTACTAATATTAGTTAGAATAGCGTTATATTCTATGCTAATAAAAACGTTTAAAGGTTTAAGGTCTATATAGGTTATACTACGCTAATAGAGATAGCTAAGTACTTAAGTAATCTATAATACCTATTTCTACTATAGTAAGATAGTTTAGAAAATTAACTATATAGTATTCTAAAGTGTAGTCTCTAGTATACTATTAAAATAATAATTAAGAAAAATTTCTCTTAGAATAGTTAAGCTCTTTATCTCTACGGTTCTAGTTATTATAGTATTAGGCTACGTAGTTTAATAGAAAGATTAGAAGATAATAGTAGTAACTAGTTATACTATACCTACTAGACCTTAATATAATTATAGGTTTTAAAGTTCTTAATATAGTACTTAACTATCTTATAGTATATATAGAGGCCTATTAACTTTCTTAAAGACGAATAGCTTATTACTACTAGTAAGCTATACTTTATATATGCTAGTACTAAGTTTATATATTTTTCTAATTTTTAAAATAGACGTTATTAGAATATTAATACTAGAATTAAAGGTTAAAAACTAGACGTAGTATAGGTCTTTTCGTAGATAGAGCCGTAATTTAGTATAAAGAGAATAATATTTACTATTAGAGCCTAGAGTAGTCTTTAATAGTAGAACGTTATTAGAAAAAGTAAAGTTATTCTAATAGAGTAAGAAGGTAGTGTTATTATCGCGCTTAATAAGTAGCTCTGTTACCTTATTATCTAGAAGCTATAGACGCTCGAAATTAAGGTAGAAGTAAAGATTTATAAGGTCTTAACGCTATATTTTCTTTTCTATACAAGCTACTCTATCTAAGTATAGTAAACTCTTAAAAGTAACTATTACCTACTACTTTAAGTAACCTAGCTATACGATAACTAGTAGCTAACGTTTTTAAGGCTTCTATCTAGATATCTATTTTATTTTCTTATAGTCGTAAGATTTCTAATAAATAGTTTATAGTTTATTACCTATAGTTATAGTTACGAGTGTTATAGGTAAGATGCTTAATAGCTTTTTAGAGAGTAGAGAAGGCACAATACGTTTATAGTAGTTAATAAGTAATTAAGCGAGAGCACTATCGTTTTGCTAGATTTTGTGTTAACTCTTATTAGCTAGGACCGGCTTAGCGCCCTATGTACTGCTTTTGTAGAGAAATCGCAGCTTTTTAGCCTAGAACTTAGCGCGATTAGAAATGCGTATAATACGCACTCTCCTTGCATGGCCTCTAATTGCTGCTAATAACATTACATTTCTAGCCCTCCTACTCGCTGTACTTAAACACAGGGACTAACCTATTTTACAGGATCCTCTACCTCCTCTTTAATCCACCGCATTCCTCTAAGCGCGTCGTTCGAGTTTATTATAGCCCTCTTACCGCAAGTAAAACCAGGCGCTTACTTTATATATTTGATGTGCTGCTGTGTTCGTTCACCCATTAGCAGGTTCAAAATTGAACCTGTTTTCTTGGCGGTCATGTGACTCGGCGCACTAGTGATTCGCTTCGCTTCGATCCTGGCCTCAGACCTACCTCGCACCAACCATCTGCAGCACCACACCATAGAATGCTTTGCACTGGCACCGCCCTACCCCAGCTACTGTACGCAAGCTCGGTGTGGTCATGCACCAACACGAAGGGGAAAACATACACAAAGAAGGCACTCAACATCCTGCAAACTATCCAGGCAAGAGCAGCAAGATCTATGCCAGGAAATACTAGACAGTATAGGCCTCCAACTAGAGACACCCGCGACGGAAAACCGAAAGCGATTCATAGACCCGCTACGAAAAACCTACAACGAAATAAGAGACAAGCGAAACCGAGACACCGACGCGCAGGAACCCATCCCACCATTCGTAACACCACCATGGTGGGTAGGACCAGAGACACAGATAGACGATGACGCTGACAAAGCCCGCAACCGGCATGACAGAGAAAACGAGGCAGAACAAAACCTCAGCATCTACACGGACGGCAGCGGAATCAACGGCCAGATAGGAGCGGCGGCAGTGTGCCCGCCCCTACAACAAACACGCAGCGTGCACATGGGAACGGAGACGACCTCAACGGTGTATTCGGCGGAACTCCGCGGGATCAGCCTCGCACTGCAGATAGCGAAGGAGTACGCAGAACGAAACGGAAGCCGCCAAACAGTAGCTATCTACACGGACAACCAGGCGGCCATCACCTCTACAGCCAAACCGGAGGGACAATCAGGAGCCTACATTCTCAAGGAAATAGCACAGCAAATCCAAGACATCCAGGACAAAGGACGACTGGTGAAAATTCGATGGATACCGGCACACGTAGGAGTACCAGGGAACGAAGCCGCCGACAGGGCCGCCAAGGAAGCCACAGGATGGAGAGAGGACGGATCGGAAGGAGAAACGGCGTCGAAACCCTTCCAACTACACCCACTCAGAACAACACTTAAAACATGGTGCAAAGCCGAGGTAGAAAGAGCATGGAGGGCAAAATGGCACTCGGAAACCAAAGGCAGAGCGTGCTACAGACACACACCGGTGCCTACGAACAGAATACTCCGACTCCACCAAGGCCTCAGCAAACGGCAGAGCGCACTGCTAGTACAGCTCCGAACGGAGAAGATCGGCCTCCGGGACTTCCTCTTCCAACGGAGAGTACCAGGTGTGATAGACTCCAAGTGTGAATGCGGAGCGAGACGACAGACGGCCTCCCACATCCTCCTCACCTGCAGGAACCACAAGGACCTCCGGAACCGGGAATTCGGCCGCCTTCCAGGACGACACGACCTCCGGGCCATTATGAACAACCGCAAGCTAGCCACCAAAGCCATCAGGATTATAGAACAGACGCAGATCCTTGGGCAAAGGGGGATCAGGAACGAATAGACGAAGCCGAGCGCTGGGGGGAGACTGTAGGTATTGCGGACGCGACAGACAAGGTAGACGCCTCTAGGAGCCTAGAAACATAGTGTACATTAGTATGTGAACCATTATCTAGATGAGCTGGTGGGCTGAGATAGATGATGGTTGAAGGGGAAGCGGCGGACCTCTGGGGGCAGCTGGTCTCGTTTTTGCGAGATGAAGTGGGGCGGGACGGAACAACTTGTGCCCGGACCGCGTCGGCTGCCTGCCACGTCAGCCTAGCCGGGCATAGCTGCGAAATCGCGGCTGAAACCGAGTAGGAATCAATCAATCAATCAATCAATCAATCGATCACACCAGATCGTGAAAGCACACGGCAATGCCATTAGCACGCTCTTTCGGGGCCGTCCACAGAAAACTTTTCAACAGCGCCAAACCCCCTGCTCTGGCACAGCCCTCGCGGGCTCTCTCTATTACCAGTCGAGGCAAATCCATCAACCGCGAAGAGCTATTCAACTACACTAACGGTCGCTTCCTCGCCAATGAGGCGGAGGCCTGCAACCGCAGATATGTGCGATTCGACATTGATCAGCTGTGCGCCGTAGCTGCGGCAGCCGGCGGGAGTTCTTCGCCCATCAAAGCGATCGATAAGATGGAGGGAGGCTTTAGCAAGGCCCTCATCATGCGGAAAGAGGACGGGAGTGAAGTCGTCGCTAAAATTCCCTTCTCCATTGCCGGGCCACCTAAGTATACCACCGCCTCCGAAGTAGCTGTTCTCAAATTCAGTAAGACTGCAACGCCTATTCCACATTCAATTGGATCCAAGACTGACCGTATCGCTAATGGTAGTAAGTACCCATACTCGAGTCCCCGTTCCCAAAGTCCTAGCCTGGAGCTCTGACGCGTCGAACCCCGTTGGTGTCGAATACATAGTCATGGAAAAGGCTCCTGGCCAACAGTTGTTCACGACTTGGAGCGCCATGACTATCCAAGAACAATTCGGCCTCGTGGAGCAATTGACGCAATTCGAGGCCGAGTTGGCGTCAATTCAATTCCCCGCTAACGGAAGTCTGTACCACTGCGAGTCGATGACAGACGGCGAGCCCTGGGTTGCTTTGGACCGGACCGTGGACCCATCTGGACAATTCTGCATCGGGCCGTCCTGCGAGCGAGCGTGGTCAGCTCAAGGAGAGATAATGGCGCGACCTTCTCAGGTCAACAACGGACCATGTAAGTTGGTTACGGCATGCATCGTTTGCTAAGCTGACGTTACTCTGTAGGGCCGAACCTATCATCTTTTGGTCTTGCGCTCGTGGAGCGCGAAAGGCTCCGCATTGAGCAACAGAGTCTGGTCTCTACCTTTAAACCACCCCGCGGGTCCGTCGATGAACAGTTTGCCGTCCTGAACATGGCAAAGGAGGTCATGTCTAGGCTAGATACAGTGACGCTCATCAACAGGGTCTCGCGGCCAGTCTTGTGGCACACTGACCTCCATATGGGTAACATATATAGCAAGCCTGAAGACCCAACCAAGATCTGTTCGCTCATTGACTGGCAGTCGATTGTAGTCTCGCCACTATACCTACAGGCCCGCTTCCCAGAGTTCTTGTCGGTCGATGATGACTATGTTCTTGGCTTGACAGAAGAACCGAAGCTACCGCAGGACTACCAAGACATGGACACCAATGACAAGAAGCTAGCCGAGCTCAAGTTCGAGGATACTAAAATGTCCAAGTTCTACGAACTTAGCACTGCCAATCAGCACCTACGGGCACATCATGCCTTTCTTATGCCGCAGTTCACGCGAGAGCTCTTCATTCGGTGCGGAGAGGTATCCGAAGAGGGTGCGATACCGCTTCGTGCCTGCCTAATTGAGTTTGCCGACGCGTGGAGTGAACTGGGATTACTAGGTGAATGCCCTTTTAGCTTCAGCGAGGAGGATATACGAAAGCATGACCAGCAATTTCGGGACTACCGCGACTTTCACCGAGTTCAAGAAATAGCCAGGAAGCTTCTCAGCACCGACTCCGAGGGCTGGATATCTCCGCAGCTTGATTTTGCGGAACGGCAACGAATGAACACAGAGTTATTACAAGAGATTATGCGTAGGAGCAACGAATACAACAAGACAGCGGAAGAGATTCGAAGCATTTGGCCTTTTCGTGAGAAAGCATAGATTCGAAATCGAAAACAATTTGATAGAATGGCCAGTGGGAGATCTAAAATATGCCAAAACCTCTATCGAAAGCCGATCTGAGAATGCAACTCGAATCATCTACCTGCCTTGAGGCGGAACAGACCTGTTTGAACTGGTCTATGCATGTAACACTAGGGTAGGCTGTCAGAGATTTAATAGTTCGAGGGAGATTCAACTTACATTCAACCGATCTTTGAGGAGAATTTCTTCCTGAAATCTGCCACCAGATCCTTGACTACCTCCTCTTGCTTGTCGTCTGGTACGTCTACCGGAATTTTGGCAGCGGCAACGTTGGAGTGTGTTCCATATTTGCTGACATACTTCTTGAGTGCTGTGTTTGTCGCTTCACTGTTGACCTGGAGATAGACGTTTTTCTAGCCCGCGTCAATCCGCACTTGGTGCTCTGCATTCTGCGTTTTGGTGTTCGGTGGGTAGACGCGTTGACCCGGGCTGTGTTTGTTGAAAAGCTTCGTCCAGTTCCCACTGTCAAAGAGGTGCTTTTCGAACTTCTTCCAGACTTTTGACATGATGGTGGAGAGACAAGGTCTTGGTGGATTTGTTCAAAAGATAGCGAAGAAAGTTAGGCAAGTAGAAGACCGGGTTGACAAAGGATTCGAGGTTGTTTGATCAACAAATGGAAAGGTGGAGGTGATTGCTAAGCTGCCCAATTTACTACATGAGGTGCTGATATTTATACCGCCTGGCAAACAGACTTCTCGCACTTTGACGTCGTGCTTACCCGACTCTCAGATTTGATACATGCTCCATTGGCCAGTTGCAGTCACGGACAGCCGAAAATAGGGCGCATGCTAAGCGCTGGGGATCGAAGTCTATTTGCCGCCAACATGCACCCCGGCCTTACTCCAAATGCGGAGGATACGGCCGAGAGAGGCAGCATCAATTGGTTAGAGGCGTCAGTTATAAATTGAGCACATGCCTATATATATCAGGGTCGAAGATATAGGCCATGTATTGTCGCCAAGCCAGTAACGTGTTCTATTAGTAAACTGCGCACCCCAAAACTCACTAAAAGTTCACCTTGACATCTCAACAACGCCTTGATGAGAAGATTCAATACCTTGAATAAAGCTGTCTATGGATGTTTCAAGACCCTTACTAGAATGAGAAAGTCATTCCTTCATTAGATCTACGTTAGAGAACAAGTAAGTTAACCATGCAATGTTTGGGGGCCAAAATCTTGATATCTTGGTAACAGACAATTCTGTTGGTCTAAGAATCTCACAAGAGTTTTAAAACTTGTATTGAAGGTCAAGAGTTGAGTTCTATAACTTATAATCAAGGCATTGTTGAGATATCAAGGTACGGTCTTGGTGAGTTTTGGGGTGCGCAGCTTACTGATGGAACACGTTACTTTAACGTGTGCATAGAATTGTTTTTACTCAAAGTCAAAGTACCCCTCATTTTTTGCGTTATGGGGGTTTTGCGCCACTCAGGGACGGACGTTAGTGACGAAGAGCCTTCTTCGCACCAAGTAAGCTTACGATGCGAGGACAGGCTCACCGACGGATAGAACACGTCACCGTAATCGTCGTCCTCACGTGCCTAAGGCTATACCGATTCGGTCGTATCACGTGAAGCTGGCTTGCGGAACGATCCTCGTAGACCCCGACGGCAATGTGCTGGCGACTTTATGACACCCACGTATACTTCCCGGCCTATCGTAATGGCCGCTTCTATGGCTTCGTTTCTACGGACGAGACAGGCGAGTCTTGGTGACCTCCAGGCCAAGACACTCTGCTGGCTTGCGTATGCGCTTCTGAAGAGGCATTACCGCCCGCTCTCATCTACCAGGGCACATCTGGGATTCAATCGAGCTGGGTTGACGACGTGGAGGCTGAACAACACCAGATTTTCTTCGCTAACTTGCCTTCAGGATGGACGAATAACGAGCTCGGGCTTGCCTGGCTCGAACAGGTGTTCGACCGCTATACGAAAGCGAAAGCAAGACGCGGATGGCGACTTCTGATCCTTGACGGCCACGGCAGCCATGTAACGGCCGATTTTATCGACTTTTACGACACCAATCGCATCCTGCTCGCGATCTTTCCACCTCATTCAACCCACAGTCTTCAGCCGCTCGATGTGGTGCTGTTCTCACCGCTTTCGACGAACTACACCAAGGAACTCAACCGCAGTACGCAGCGATCGCACGGCATCACGAGGATCACGAAACGCGCTTTCTTCAGCAACTTTTGGCCGGCGTGGAGCTCTACGATGAAGCCGGAGACCATAATGAAGAGTTTTCAAGCTACAGGCGAGTGGCCGATGGATGCGGAGGTTGTACTGAAGCGCTTCAAAACCACCACTTCGGAGCAAGATGAGGCTTTAAAACTCGGGGAGCACGGTGATGGCGATAGCTGGATTCAGCTGCGAAAAATTTTTGATGCTGCGGTCGCGGACAAGGCAAAAGTTGAAGCTAAACGGCTGTCGCAAGGCATACACTCGCTGCAGGTCAATAACGCTCTACTTCATAACGAAAACTCGGGCTTACAGCAAGCGCTCAACACCAAAAGAAAGCACAAGACGAAGCGCACAACTCTAGACTTGCAGCATCGCGATGAGTACCATGGCGGCGCTGTTTTCTGGAGTCCTAAGAAGCTCCGCGAAGCCCGCGAGCGCGAAGCCACGAAACGAGACGAAGCCGAACAGCTACAACTCCAAAAAACTCACGATAGAGACCTGAAAGCGGCGGCAATGTTATATAAAAAGAAGCAAGCGGAAGCTGCAAAGTTGGCTCGACAGCATGCTGCTGAGGAGCGTCGCGAGGCGAAGAAAGCGCGGGCTGCAGAACTGGCTTCGGACCAGGCGCTCAAAAAGCAGCAACGCGACGCTGCAACCGCACAAAAATCTCACGATACAAGCAATACAGCTAAGCGAAAAGCCTCACACACTGCCGCCAAAAATTCAGCAAAGCGTCGTCGTGTTGTGGGTGCAGCAAGTCGTGTTGAAGCTGCACCGCCGCCTGCGTCTCCCCCACCCAAAATCAGCGCGCGCGGCCGCCAAATCCGGGTACCAGCTAAATTCAAATAGTACAAAAGATGCGCAAGGCTCTATATAGTAATACACCAAGAAATCTCGCGATAATAGCTTTTGTGTGGCGGTCTACAGCCTCATTTCTAAAATCACGACTTCATGTTCGGGTAGCTCGCATGCCGAACTGGCTCGGATGGCGCACGGGCACTGTACTCGTGATATTGAAAAGCTCAGCCACTTTGCACTGCCTTATAGCCCGCTATCATCCTCCCTTGATTGTTCTTCCATGAATCCACCCGCCAGGACAGTCGCAACTCCCTGACTGCTCAATGCCTACATATATTTAGTAATTTTCTTAGCTAGAGCTCGCCGGCAGTCCTCTTTCCATGCGTCTTTTGCAGCTTAAAGATGACGGCGAACCTGCGTACAACTCTGGAGGAACAAAATGAATATACCAGAGTATCTGCTGGTCGACTCGACATGCTGACTGGTGCGGAAAAGGTTGAGGGCACACATGAGGAAGTTTACGTCAGGAAGCTTGACGACGTGCGACTTAATCGAGTTCGAGAATATCGTAATGTCAAAGTTTTCTGGATAAATATTGGATCATGTCGCGTGTATCCTGAACGTCAGTGGGACCCGCAATCGGAAATTTTCTGGTCACACAGTACAGTCGATGGCAAGTTGGGAGTCGTGTATTATCGTTCTCTGGCCACCCGATTCTTGATTATATTCGGCATTTCTCCCTCAGGGCAGCCTTGGTGTCATACCACAATGACTACTTGGGCAGACTCTTTTAAAGCTTGGGAATCATATGAACCTAATGGGACAGAGTGCGCTGAATCCTACTTAGATCTGGATAACTCCAAGACAACTTTCCTGCTTGGTGCGAAAAGAGAGCGCTTTTCCGTGTTCGTAGAGATCAAGGAAGAGATGGCGTATAGCACAGCAGTCTATAGGGTTAAAGCAAGGTCAAGAAACGAGGACACAGGAGAAATTTGTCGGCTGTAATTATAGCACCGAGTGTTACGCATCCTCAAAAGCTTTAAATGTTAAGGCGTGGCTTTAAGTTCAGATGAAGCATGGATAACATATAGTTCAGAAAACGTAGTGTGGCTACTCTCAGAGGACTAGTCGTCACGTTCGGCCGTATCGGGAAGACGACTGGCGTTAGGCCTGGAAGGGTATGAATACGAGCACAACGAACCTTGGCGTTTGGGAGCGGTTTCATGGAGGTGATTAACTAATTATTTTATATTTTTATGATATCTTTCAGTCCGGGGTAAGCGTGAACATATCCCCCGCATGGCCAAAATCTGCCGTACACGGGCCACATTGAAATGGCCAATCGGAGCTTTGCTCCGACTTCGGACGAACACCAAAGGAGATCAGATTTGTATGTAGATTTGTATGGAGACTTGATTTCTTGTGGTTTTTCGATCAAACTACTTGATAATTGAGCTTTGAGAGGTGTCTTTTGATGTGATTGTTTGACAGCGCTGTAGGTGCTCTTGCCAGCACTCAGGACGCTCCTCTGGCCTACACAAAGGCAGCCTACACGCCCTACAGCCAAAAGTACTGCGCGGAGTACGCAGAGGAGCTTTACGATTGCCAGAAGTTGTTGTAAGAGGCTGCCGTGGAGGCCGTGAGTTGTGCTTTTTACGCCCAGACGTCGCACAAGATAAAGTCTTCGCCTCTGCAAACAGCCTTGTAGACGTGTGGGAGCTGCCAGCGTCGCTGACGATATCGTCTACATGCTGACGTTTGTTACTGCCGTTGCAAAGTCGGCCTCCGCGCTCGAAAAGCTGCTCAATCAGGGCATACAGGAAGTCTTTATGACCCGTCCTTTTCGCTGACGGCCGGGACGAGTACGATGACAGCCTGTAGGCGTTGTTCAGTGCCAAATCAAGTAGGAAGTAGAGCAGAGGACGCCAGGTACGCCGTTTGGCCTGCTGGACGGAGTAGTAGCTTTTACACTGATCAAATCGATCAACCTCGCTCTTGTGGGTATTGTAATCGTCTATCATCGTCGGTATCCCCAGTAACTTGACAGGCTCGTTGCCAAAGGCGTCCGAAAAGATCTTCTTGTTGTTTGATGCTGTTTTGGAGCGTCGACGGAGCTTTTCGATGTACTGAGCAGCTGTGTAAAAGTCAACACCATGCCAAGAAATGACGTCAATACTCACGATCTGCGACTGTACTGGCAAAAAGGACAACTTGATTATCTCTCCAGGCTGCCTCTAGTACTTCCTTTGACGCTGACAGCGCCCAGCGTATTTCTCCCCACTTCAGGGACTGCCGAGCGTGTGTTTTGAGACGCACAAGATCACCGTTGAAGCGCTCTTTGGACAGCTTTTTGCAGGCGATAGGTGCGCCGCTTGTCTGGAGTTCTGCCTCCGCAGCCTGCTCGAAGATCTCCTCTGTCGTCGTCTTTGTCGTCCTGACAGTCCCGGCGCAGCCGACGCCTTTGGATCTGAGGTATTCGAGCATGGGTATCGTATTGAAAAGGTTGTCGTCCTAGACGATATGACGGCCGGCCGGAAAAAGCCTTTCTCCGGCGGCGTCCTCGGCGAGTACGAGGGTGACGGGGACAAGCTCTGTTGGAGTTAAAGACCTGCCAGCAGCGTCAGCGTCGGCGATTTTAATCAAATTGACGGGTCCTCTGCCGCGGGCATGAAAAAGCCAGTTAAGTATCACCCCATCGTTTGCTAGACACTAGATCTTGTAGCCCTCAGGTGTGGGCTTTGTTTTGATTATTACTTTTTCTGACGCGCGTCCAGTAAATCTCGCAATCGCCTCGTCGACGCAGAGGTGCTTGCCGGGCGTCCAATACAAAAGCGAGCGCTCGCAGAGCAGCTGAGAGAGATCCCAGACGCGGCCAAATGGGGAGCAAAAGCTCTGCTCCACCTCAGTACAGTACAGGTACCGATCTAGCTGCTGCCAACGCTGGCGGGACATGAACTCGTTGATTTTGTGTGTAGGAGCGTTCCGGTGGCCCTTCTCCCAGTACTCCGCTAACGAGGGCTCCCGGTGGACGCCCATATAAACGACGATTGAAAAGTACGTATAAAGCTCCGCCGGAGACGTCGGTTTCCAGCTGCGGCAGCTGCCAGGCGTCGCTGCTCGGAGCGCCTCAGCATGTTGATTTGTATGGTGTGCTATACGGTCCATAACGTCGGCGGAGAAGTATAAATCGAACAAGGCAATCGGACTGCCGCAATCAACACCTTCAGGTAAGTTAGCCTCTCCAAAAATACGTGGATTGTTGACGTTGAGAGGTTTCCAATCGGGTGGCGGATTTGCTGGCAAATCAGGCTTTTCAGCGTCAGATTTGCTGTATTTTGTGTATTTTACGAAGTCAGGGTCATTGGTGAGTGGGCCAGCAGCTTTTGGCATGTTCGCAGGTGCAGGCGATTTCAAAACAGGCGTATTTTGGCTAGTAAACAGAAATTGCCAACATCACGATACAGATTTGGTGTTCACTTGGCAGCTCTCCTGATTGGCCATTTCAATGTGGCCCGTGTACGGCAGATTTTGGCCATGCGGGGGATAGCTGGGTAATGTCCGTCCCTGTGTCGCGAGACGCACCCTGTCGCGAGACAAACCATGAGTGTTACGAGCTGTCCTCTTGACTGAGACCGAGGCTTACTTTCGTAAGGGGAGGCAAGGGGTGTGCTTCGGGCAGGGGATCTTCAGTGACAAAGGGGTGGAGGCAATGATACTGTAAATCGCGAGTCTCTGTAGCAATTTGATAAACAAAACAATAACTACGAGGAGCCGTAAGGAGCGAGCTCCTCCTGGTTATATACATGTGCCATCTTGGCTGGATTAGGTGCCAAGACCTGGCTCTTGTGGATCAGACCTGATCCACCTGGCTCCGCCTGATCTATCTGATCCATGTCACGTGACCCTGATCATTCCCGTGACCTTGCACGTGATCCCTTGTCCCGTGACCCCAGGCTTGGCCTGCCGTTTTCTCCGTCCTGGCCAGCCAACCCTGTTCCCGATCCTGTGATCGTAACACCTGCCCCTCCTTCCAAAGCGTCGTCCCGAAGCTTCGTTCTGTTCCTGGGTGCGGTGTTTTGTTGTTCCGCGCTGTTCTCATATAAGAGTAGTGCTGCCCACAGTCCTGTAGTATCGTATCCTCTTCTTCCTTGCCATGCCGCCTGCGCGTACTGAGTCTTCAACAGTTCGCCGCCGTCGCCGTGCCGACCTTGTTCTGCGCACTAGCGCTAATATGTCCGACAACTCTTGCGGTGCTTGTCGTTCCCGCAACCTGCGTTGCGTCGTAGAGGTGTCCTCTAGTCGCTGCTTGAAGTGTATTGCGAAGAGTCGGTCCTGTAACAAAGTGTTAGACCTAAAGGAGGTAGAGAAGCTAGATTAGCTGTTGACTAATCTGCGTTCTTAGTAGTTAGAGGCTAGTCTTAAGGCAGAGCGTCTAGCCAAATCGCGGCGGTCCGCCAAGGCTTGGAGCGACCGTCTTTAGAAGTAGTTAGACCTAGTGCGGCGTCGTCGTAACGCGCTACTTTCTAAGAATCTTGCTAATATTAAGAAGCTAAAGCGGTTAGAGCGTAAGGCATAGTAATTCTTATAGTCGCGACTTTCCGTTTTCTTAGTTAATTCTCTTTAGTTGTTTAACTAGAGCTGTCTAGAGAATCTAGAGTTCTAGTCTTCTAGTTTTAGAGGTAGTATTACTAGCAAAACTTCTTAAGTTTCTTAGAGTAATTCTTAAGGTTCTCTAGTAGTTTCTAGGTGTCTTTCTCTAGTAGGTATTCTTTCTATCTAACCTAGTACTTCTACTAACCTTATATACGCTTTTTATCTAGTATTTTTTTAACCTTAAAGTTCTAGTCTAGTTCTACCTTAGTTTATCTATTAAGTAGTACGTTATTAGGCGCGAGTTTAAGTTTAAATTTATAGAATATAGAGTATATTCGTATTATTAGTAGTAGCTTTAACCTAAAGTTAATAGGTCTAAGTTATCTATTAATTTTAAATAGTCTAATTTATAAGTAGTTAAGTTTCTTGCTAGATTATTTAGTACGTAAGTTTTTTTATAGAATAAAAACTTTACCTCTCTTTTTAAAGGTTAGTCTCTTAATTCTTTTCTTATTTACTTATTAAGTTATTCTTTTTACTATTTTTTATAGTTTATTATAGATTATTCTTATTTAGCATTTCTTTTCTTCTACTTTTAGAAAGATTATAGCTATATACGTTAAGAATTTATATATTCTAGCCTTATAGCTATAATATACTTAGTAGAGAGTTATTTCTATTATTTCTTATTTTACTATATTATATACTAGTTATACTATAGATAGTAGTTTAACCTAGTTATTCTATTCTTAGTTAATATAGTTTCTTAGGTATTCTTCTAGAGTCTAGTTTATTTATTCTATCTAGCTATTAGTTTATAGGTAGAAGCTAGTTAATATTTAATTACTTACTTCTATTTAGCTAAGTAGTACGTTCTAGAACTTAGATATAAATAGTTTATCTCTATCTATAGTAACTTATTCTAGTATCTTATACTAGCTAAATAGTTATTAGCTTACCTTATACGCTAGTTCTTTAGCTTTAAGAGTTTTACTAGTTAGATAGAAGTATACGTATTTAGTAAATTAGTCTATAATTACTAAGATAGTATTATACTTTCTTTATAACGTAGGTTTAATTAACCTAGATAACTTTATAATAAAGTTTATAGTAACGTGTTACTATAGTACTATAGATAGTTCTAGAGGTTATAGTAGCTTATAGAGTTAGTATCTAGCTACCTTATTCTATTAGTATTTTATATATTCTTATACTATTTTTATAACCTTTTTCTTTATTATAAGTAACCTATATTCTTACCGTATTCTCTTAAGAGTACGTTTAATTTCTTAGTATTCGTACGTTATAGTACTATAGAACTCTCTAATAAACTTTATTTATAGTACCTCTAGTACCTTCTATTTTTCTTATTTATTAGATAGCTCTAGTCTATTATTCTACTAGTTCTAGATTTTTGTAATCTAGCTAACTTATAGACTATTATATTCTAGAGTTCTATCTAGTCTAATATAGAGTATAGCTTTATATTTCTCTTTTACTATTATTATATAGTTAGCTCTATAGCTAAGTACGTCTACTACTTTATTCTTAGTACTCTTCTAGTATTAGATAGTAAAGTCTATTATAGCTAGTATTTCTACCTACCTAACTTATTATTAATTTAGCGTTTTTGTTATTATAAACGCTATAAGGTTTTTATAGTCTAATACTACGTTAATAGAGTATTTAGTACCTTCTAAGTATATTCTCTATTCTTTTATAGCTACTATAATAGCTATTAATTTCTTATTATATATATTATAGTTAAGTTCTAGTACTAAGAACTTTCTTAAGTAGAAGAAGTATAGTTAGTATTTACTATCTTCTCTAGGTTAGCTAAAGTATACTTCTAGAGCTCTATCTAATATATTTATCTTAACTTGTATTAGTTTGTTTTTATTAAACGTTTATAGTAGTAGTATAGTAGTAAACGTCTATTTTAGCGTCTTAAACGCTTATTATTATAGGTCTTTCTACCTAAATTTCTAGTTCTTTTTAGTAACCTTTATAAGTAGTATTATAATCTATAAATACTCTTAGATAAACTTCTAGTAGTAGTTAGTAAATTCTAGAAAGAATTATACTTCTTTTACTATCTAGAGTATAAGCTAGTCTAGAACTACCTAGACTTTATCTATTTCTATCTAAATTCTCTTCTATATTAGGTAGAATTCTAAGTAGCTAGTCTCTATATAATAGAATTCGCTCTTATTAGAGGTGTAAGGGCTAGGTTCGCGGTCTCTACTACTATAAGTGTTCTAGAATACCTAGCTAGGTAAGTTAGCTATAGGTAGTACTGTCTCTATAAGCTATAAGAATAGAGTGCTAGCAGAATAGGTTAGGTTAAATTTAGCTATTTAAAGGTAAGAAGTAGAAGAATACTCTAAGAGCTCTCTATATATAGAGGTGCTAAGCGCTAAGGCGCTAGGCTAGGTTACGTAATAGAATTACGTAACTTAAGGTTATATAACCTAAGGTAAATCCTAAACTAGACTATTATATTACCCTCTCTTATAGAGAGAGCTCGTCTCTAAGCTCTAAAATACGCCTCTTAGGTCTCTCTTCTTCTAAAACTCTCGCGTTATGCTCTTAACCGTCTCTTTTAGCTTATAGTAAGCGTATTCGTGTTAGTTTTAAACTAGAAGCGCTTTTATAGCTACTACCTTTCTTCTAGTTACTCTATTCTTATAAAGATTTAAGCTAGAAGGCTTGTTTTCGCGTCTATAGGGCGGCTTTGTCGCAGGCTCTCTTCTTAAACAACGCTCTAAGCTCTGCGGAGTCTTAAATCGCTTAGTAGCGCCTTTGCGTTACTATTACGTCTTCTACTCTTATAGGTTTCGAATTCTTCGCTATCTTCTCTAAGGTCTTCTCTTTTTTGTACGCCTTAATCTAAGCATCTAATTGTAATAGCGGCTCTAGCTTATCTAGGTATACTACGTAAAAGTCTCTTACTTTATAGAAAGCGTTAATAAAGCCTATAGCATTATACTAGGTAGAGTTAGAGTTATAAGCAACTTATATAGCGCGGTATTAAAGGCGATTTTAATAAAGATAGCTATCTAGAATTTTATATATAAGCTATTCTAGATTACTATCTACTTTAATAAGTAGCTACTTAGGCTCTACCTACTCTAGTAATAGCTCTAAGGCTTTCTATAGCTAATTAGTATAAAAGACGTTGTGTATACGTATATACGCAGATAGCTAGAGTTAGAAGAAGTAACTCTTTATAGTAATAATTAGGTAAGAGCTATACATCTATTAATTAAGCTTAGTACTAGGCTAATTTGTTAAAAAGCTACAAGGTTTAACGTAGACAAGGTCGCCTACCGCAAAATTAGGTTCTTAGCGTTTTTTAT